ATGGTCCCCCTTTCCTGAAAGTTGGATAATAATTGTGGGGCTAGGCTGTGGCAATTCAGGAGATCTCAGAAAGGCTGAGAGAAGCTGGGTGTGAGGAGGTGAAGTTTGGATAATATCTAGGAATTTCTGTTTGCCCAATATTGTTTGCCCAATAATTCAAATCTTCATTTCTGGGTGGGCCCTGGCAACGGGTATTTATACACATACTTTTTCATCCCACGATGCACCAGAGATTAATTGAGTCTGCTGCGGCACATGCAGTAGTATAAAGTGGCGAAATATGCATCTGTGCAGAAAATGGCGGTGGTGCGCTTTTGAACTAAAGCACCTCTAATGTGTTTTAGTTCAAAAGTGTGCTGTTGCCATTTTCTCAGAGCTGACGTGCATTTTTCAGCTTATACAACTGCAAGCGTGGCAGCACCTGGCACTTTTCAGAGCACCCAGCACTATGGCACTTACACGTGTAAAAATGCCCATAGAGACCAGCTTAAAGGTCGAAAAGTTTACTTCAGATTTTGAGCAACAATTCAGATAGATAAAACTAGACCTCAACTGCCTAACCAATCTCTAATGTTAAGTGCTTTTTCTATTTGATTTTTTATCAGTTCATTCTCAAGAGCTTGTCTCAGATCTTAATTATCACACAAGGAAAAATGAATTTTCTGTTCTCAGTCAAATCTCCTGTTGTGCACATCAGAAACTGATCATGCAGTCTAGCACAGGAAGACTCTAGCATGAACTAAAGGTTTACCATTTATTTATGTATTTATTTATCTATCTATCTAATTTCCAAAATGTTGTAGATTCATATTTTCAAATGTGTTAACCTGTGGTCTTGCTTTAATTAGTAGTCAATTCTACCTCTCTCAACTTAAAAAACACCCCTGTAGTCAACATGTCAACCAAGGTACTGTTAATATGCTTATATTAAACAAAATAGTGGCTTTTTTTTTCTTTCATACCTCCCTTACAAATATAAAAATGACATAAAGTTAACATTCTACATTAGCTCTTCAGAAATTTCTGAAAATGAAAATAACAGGAGGAATAAAAACTGGAAGTTCCAAAACTAGATTCCCCCTTACTTTTGTAAAAACCAATATACAATTTCAAAGCTTTTCATGATAAATGTTTTTTTTTTATCTTGCAGATTTTCTTAAAAAAAAAAAAAAAGGGGGGGGGGGGGGGGGGGGAGTTGGACATTTTCCTTTCTCCTGTTTTGATTATTTTCTGCCCAAACTTGCCACTCTTTTCTAAATTTTCTGCTGAACTTATGAAAAAAGAGTTTGTCAGCATAACTACATGAAGTTCCATTTCCTTACATTCACAACTCTTCTTTTTGTAAGTCATCTAATTTATCCCTATTTTATCCATAGCAGGTTGCTCTGGACTGTACAGATTCTGAGATAAATACCAGTGATGTAAAATTAGAGTGGCTCATTTGACCACAGTGGTAGGTTTCTGGATTTATAAAAACTGTAAATGTAACCTTAGTAACTCAAAATGAGGTTTTATCAATAGTAGAATATAGACAGTTATCATTTTTACCACTGTAAACCTGATAAAATTAAGTTGGTTTCACTGCATATAGAGGAGTTATCACTATTTGGGTTTTATATTTTTATAGGCTAGTAAACAATGTTATTTGACATTTTACTGTATTTCATACAGAAAACATATTTAATGATGTGACAAACTGTGGTATGTGGAAGCAGACACCATGGTTGACTGATGGGATCAAACCTTTAATACCCAAAACACTGGGATGTGTTAACCTAAGGGATTAGCTCCATTAGCTAGCAATAAATCATAAGCTGCTATATTCACTGGTTCAAGCTATTGGGGAAATAATTATGTATATTACGGCAGTTTATGACCCTTACCACCTAAATTAGTTTTTTGTATTACAATGCATCATATTCAACCTAATTCAGTTTACTATTATTATTGTTTAGTGGTGTTCTTCTTTAAATGCCAATTTTAGGAATAGGCTGAAGAAAATGCTGAACTTGCAGCATATATTTAATACTTGGCAGGCACTGGAGTGCCCTTCCTAAACAGGGATGTTTTCCCAAATCAGAGCCTACATATGCAACCTTGTATCTTACTAACTTTCATGTTTTATTTGCCCAGTTCCCTAAATGTTCTATTTTGGTACCCTCTACAACTTTCACTGGTGCACCGTTCACTTCACTTTTCAGATTAATTATAAGGATATAAAATTACACTAGCTCCAATATGAGGGGTGTTTTTATCTCAAAAACTTATGGTACTTCTGTACCAATGTGTTATTCTGTATGATACACAGGGTCCAATTTACTAAGTTTCTTACTACTAAATTGTTTTGTTATACCACTGAGTGTTAATCTTTATCAGAAGATATTTTATATGATTGAGATGCTTATACCCAGCAACACACAGCAGCTTGCAAACACTTACATTTATGGGCAATTTATAAAGGAAAAACAAAACAGTTGAAATGCCAACAAGAAGTGTTTGATGTAGAAAACTCAAAAACTGTTCATTAGTGGCAAAACATGGAAATATGAAAGATAGTGCATGAAAGTGTCACCCTCTAGCTGAAATGCTGCAGTGGTTAAAGGATTTGTGGAAGCTAATGATATATACTAAATAGTACTTTAGTATAACATCACACTACATTAGCAACTTGCAAGCTGTCTATCCTACTGAGCCCTCACTATGCTCTGCTGAATTACCTTCTGCAGCAATTAACTTTTTCTTTATAAATAATGTGTGTCCCTGCTGAAGGACACATTGCAAACACATCCATTTAGCAACAACTTCAAGATTTAACAACAGCTGAAATCAATTTAGAAATGAAACTTCTAGCATCAAGAATACAAAACATTGGTTTGGAGTTTTATAACACAATCATTTACTTAGGTATAATCTCTGAAAACAAATTAGGAGATTTAAACAATTTAAAGAAAGTAGGAGAGAAATTCTAATCATGTGTTACACTCCAATGGAGGCCAAACAGTAACTTCATGTGAGCCTGCTGTGACATTTACAGTTATGCAGTGCTTTTGTCATATATGCTTTAAAAAACTTGCATGCAAAATGGTTTTTTAAAATCTTACCTAACAGCACCTGCATAACTATATAGTATTCATGAAAATTAACTAACTATGGGTATAAACAGATGTCACATTTCTCCCACCAGAAAGCCTTTCATCCCAGGATCCTACAGACACATAAATCCATAATACCACTTTAAGTATCCTGATAAATATGTGAAATAAGTTTGTGATAACATTTTTCCCCAGGACAATTCTGCTAGTCATTTAAGTTAATTACGGGTCATTGCAAGGACAGATCTGTCAGGCTGTGCACTCTCACTGGCCACCTACTGAGAGAGGGGCAGCAAATCAGCTTGGAACACCTGTGGCCCCTGGCAGACGTTACACTTAAGATGTGATTAACCAATTAATCATGACTTTAGTATTAACCTGAACAAATGCTAATGTAATTAATGGTGCAATAAAACAAGGAATAAGCTACAAAGTTATTACATAAAATATGTGTAAAAACACTGTAGCTCCTTCCCATCATGCCTTAAATTGCACGTGTTGCCAGTCACCAGCTGACTGGGGCTTCCAGCTTTGTGGGTATATGGGAAACCTTGATTCCCCATGCAATCCCAAGGCTGGAAGTGCCAATCAGATGACAGCCATTCCCAGTTGTAGGAGAGTAACAGAGTCCTTGACTCCCATGTGTTGCCAGAAGCCCTGATCAGCTGCTGTTGCCAGCAGCTGATTGAAGCCCTTGAATACCCCAGAGTCTGGGACTCCCATCTAGTTGCTGCTCCCAGCCTCTGGAGTGCAGTGGAGCCACGGGTTCCTAAACTCCAGAGGCTGGGAGTGGCAGCTGATCAGGGCTCCAATATTTGGGGATGCACTGGAGTCAAGGACTCCGATGTGCCCCCAAGGCTGGAAGTGGCAGTCAGCTGGCTGGCGTTCCTAGCCTTGGGGGTGCATTGGAGCCTTTGACTCATGAGGCTGGGTGCGGAGACCTGCTGATTGGCTTGTTACTTGCCAGAGCAGAGGGAGCCCAGGGTCATGATCCTGGGCTCCACTTCCACCCACAATATAGAGCAATTGGGATCTGATTGGAAATCCCACAGTCACACTTCCTGCCATGCATGTGTAGCATGGCAGGAAGCATCATTGTTGGGATCATGCACCAGACCCCACGGTACCTTTAACTGAACACCTAATGGGATTGTGCACATGTAAATGGCTGTAGTGCTTATTTTCTGATCTGGGTTAAAACCCAGGGTAATCAGGACCACCTCAAGTGAGATGTCTACTTATAGTCTATGAAACAGCAGTCCCATTACAGCTAACAGAAAAAAGGAATGTAGGGGAGAAGTTTATTTTACGATCCAAATTTGCCTGCTTAAAATCTGTTCCATGTGTCTAAAATACAGACAATCAAACCCTCATTAGATCTCCTAATTACACATTCTTGATTACTTCCATATTAACTTCTGCATAGCTACACTTAACAGTGCAATACAAGGAAGTTTAAAAAAAAATTACAAGAATTCAATTAAATATAAAGCGACAATCGACATAAATCCAAACTTGCTTGGTTGTCCTTTTTATCTCTGATAATATGAGCTAACAAGAACAACCAACTGTAACAAATGTTTAATTTTGATCTAGCAATATTTGTCTGGCTCAGTTTTATTCAAATGGTTTAATGAGAATTTAAAACAGCATGAAAGTCTTGAAAAAGAGCAAAAGCTATTTTCTTTTTCACAATATAAGGACATGTTGCTAAAACTGTGTGTCTTATGAAAGCCTATGAACCAGTGTTGAAAAATGAGCTACTAATTAACTGGCCAAATTGTGCAGTCCTTACTCCTCACTAAGCCAAAGTGTCTGTCATTCACTATTGGCTAATAAGGCAATATACTACTAAATATACATATGTTTAAAAAAAAAAAAAGGAAAAAGAAAAAAATAGATATATACCTTCTCATACAGTCCAGTGCCCGGATAAAGAAGTCTTTGTGCAGCTGATGTTCATCTCTCAAGATTGAGCACTGCTCTAGCGTCACTGACATAGATGTCCTGTCTTTGGCACTTTTACAACAGGTGAAACGGATGCCATTTAGTTTGCGGCAAATCTACAATGTAGGTAAAAAATCAAATCGTCACTATTATTATGCTTCCTGTATACGGTAAAGGCTAGGATTTTATGGAACTCAGATTATACTACTACAGAAATTTAAACTTCTAGGCTGAATTTTTTCCCCAAAAACTTTTCTTTCTTGTAAAGCATAAGTCAATGGAAGAGAAATGTTTATGCTTCTGACATGCTAGTGTAGGTAGGCTAACCAGTTAGCACATCAATGGCTAAACAGAAAAGAGCCCAATAAAGAAGGAAATACCCATTTTTTTTACAGTAACATGCTCTACTGTAATTAATGCTCACTGTTATATTATATTGCCAAGTTAGCACTGGAAGTATTGCAAGTGTGGCTTGCCTCTAAAAATGTAAGTCAATCAGGCACAGAAGTGCTTTACAAGGTTTGCTGCACTACTTACTGTCCCAGCTGGGGCTACACACAGGATCTGCTGGCGGTTTGAATCCACTAGCTCAGTGGTTCTCAACCTTTTAAACTCAAGACAACCTCTCATAACTTTCCTGAATTTGGCGCCACCCTGGTTGAGAACTACTGTGAAGTTTCAAATTGCCTACTTTATTTCCAAGGCTGTCACCACTTCCAGGTGGGACTGCCTCACACCCCTTTCCTTGTAGGAGGGGCATGAGGGGCCAACCAAGGGAGCAGCTATTGCAGGAGTGAGTGCTCCTGCTTGTGTTAGGTTTTGCTTCCCCTCCTTTCCCTTTTCTGCTATATACCCCACCCCCGGCTGGCATTTTTTAAACAGAACATGGAAGTTTTTCAGAAGTCAAATGTGGCTATGCCCTACACCCAAAGAGTCCCCCTGTGGGCTGCCCCCTGCATGCAGGGCCATCCCGGGGGGTGGGGGGTGGCGCGCGGGGAAAATTGAGTTGACCAGGCCAGGCCTTGTGCTTTGTGGCGCCCCAGTGGTCAGTTCTGTATAGGCCCCACTGCAGCCACCATGTGGCCACCATACACCCCTAGGGACGGCTCTGTCTGCATGTCCTATTTATATGCTAACCACCACTAGGACAGTGGTGGGAAGCAAAGAAGGGAGGAGTGCCTGCTCCTGCTGCAGCCCATCCCTCATCTCTGTCCCCTCCATGCTCCTCCTGACATGGGGGCAGTTTCACCTAGTCATGGCAGTGATGGTGCTGGTGCATGGGTCTCATGGCACCCTAAATTAAGAATCACTGCACTAGTCCATTTCTACCCCACAAAAAATGTATTATATGAACATATGTTAATTAACTAATTTTCTATCTGTTCTTAGTGTAGGCAGGGACAAGTCATGTGTTAAAAAACATGTTAACTATTTTTAATTAATCCTGGAATTTGTCCTAAGATTGACCTCAACTTGTTCATAAAGCCATGTTAGTGCTACTGTCCTCATCCACTTTAACATATTAGCTAACTTATTTCCTATCATAATGTACTTTCCAGTGTAAACAAGATCATTGAGAATGATATGCAGAGGGGGCTCATGTCATGACTATATCCGCTGGCATAGATGGAAGCAACAGAGATGAAGGAGGGATCATTGAATCTTTTTTTTTTTTTTTTTACTTAATTTTCATGGCATTAACAGTCTCTGTAAATAGTACCAGAAGGCTTCAGCTTCTATTCCAGCCCATTACATCCAAATTACATATATTAAAACTAGATGTTAAGGTCCTTTATTAGCAGGACAGGCCTACAAATATCTGGTCCAGTGGGAAAAATTGAAAGGCTATCTAGAAGATTTTCAGAGGTAAATGTGAGCACTCATGCACTACAGCCAGTTGGTGTTTGAGATTATTCAGCATTTTTGTTACATCGAAGTCTCCTATAATAAATATATAATTCCAGTACATTTGATGCTCCAATGCTTTGGCCTTGTGACTTCAACCATGGAAGGTGATCATTAATAGCTTCATACAACACAACTTGGATGGTCTTACAAATTTTTCTTTTGTTATTTTGTATTTCATTATCAGGCAGTGCTTTCTGCATAATTGCTATTAGCCATAATAACTAACAGCACCAGTAGGTTTTGCATCATAATTTATAACTCAACACATGTCCCATGAGGAATAGCATCTCTATGCAAAGTAGAATACAGATTAAAGGCATGAGGGCAGTACCATCAGAATGCAAATACATTTTGTGAAGGATGATAACAACTGATCTGGAGGTCATGGCAACATTGCTGGCTACTCTCAATTTTATCTTCCAAAGTATATTAGAAATTGAAAATGGACCAATAATCAGGGATTCTAATATAGGCAACCCCCGCTTAATGCTGTTTTGCTTAGCAGTATTTCGCTATAATGCTCATTTTAAATTGATACCTGATTTCACTTAGTGCTCAGTGAGCTTCCTTATAATGCTTGTGGTCGCCATCTTGGGTCATTAAAAACACTTGTGTTTGCCATCTTGGATCATCAGATACTTTCAGTTTCACTTAACACTCGTTTCATTTAACACTCGGTTGTTCAGAAACCAATTAAGAGCACTAAGGGGGGTTGCCTGTACAGAAAACATTACTGACAAGGCTGCATTTTTAAGACACTCCCTCTTAGTTTTCCATGTCTGTCCCCATCTATTATCAATTACTACTTCTATCATGCAACCTTTAACCTTTCAGTTTCTAAGGCCCCCTCTACATGTGCAGGTAAAGGCACAATGAGACCTAAGGCATGATCCATACAATTTTGCCTTCTGCCACGCCACACATGCATGGCAGGAGGCATGATTGTGGGAGCCAGCATAAGATCCTCTACTGCCTCATTGCCAGTACAAGGGGTGTGACAGGCCAGTAGGGGACACTCCTGTGCTGAGCTGCCCGCCTCACTGTGCCCAGCCAAAAACCAAGCTTTGAGTGCTTTCCTTGGGGCTCCTACGTATGGTCTACCCCCTTCCTGGAGCACACCTCCAAGCCTGGGGTAGCGCTGCCACCACCTGGACTCTGGTCTTTGTCGGGGCCTCGTGCCACCCAGGATACACAAGCCCCATAGACCTTGGGATCTTGGTGTGCTTCTATTAGCCTGAAGCATAGAAGATAGTCTCCCTTAGTCAGCCAAGAGAAAGGAGCAGAAAGGCATGCTCAAACTCTCTAAACCATGTACCAAAAGGCTGGCTAATGCATACCTTTATTGGGTAGAGAGGGCAGACTTGGGGATAGGTAGAAGACAGAGAAGTATCACACGAAAATACTAGCGCAAACAGAAATGGCTTGGTACCCTTCTGACAAGCAACTAAAATACTAGATTCTAAATTCCCTGCTACATTTTATGTAAGTTACTCACAATTCTGTCCAGGGGCTGACTGAGCCTGCTCTAGAGGCTGCATGACTAGCTGGCTGTGTCCCCAAAACATATCTTTCCCACTTCCAGGAAGAAGGGACCTTATATATCCCTGCCATGACCTCATCACTAAGTTCCCACCAGAAGCAGTCCTATTGGTGGCTGCCTGATGCTTCCAAATTACTAACCAGGTGAGAGAACTAGTCACATGACCTGCAAGAGTGGGAAACTGAAACAAAGGGAGCAGGTCCCCACCCTCTCTTAGGAATGTCTCCAGTCCAGGTCACAGCTCAATGGTAAATGAAACAGATGGTGGGAGGGGTTGCCTGTTTACAGCAGCAAGGCAGACTGCTTGGACCACCCCCACGCCCCGGACCATGTTTATAGACACCATTTATAGCTGGTTGGCCCTTTTTAAGGCACCACAATTAATATGCAAGCGTCACCAGGCTAAATTAATTGTGCATTTAACCAGGTAATTGTGCAATAGATGTAATGTGTGGAGAGGGCCTATTAAAAGAAAAATGTTCAATCAGAATCATTAAAATAATCAATCAGAATGTAACAGAGGGGAGAGAACAGTAGTGCAATAAGGACCAAGAAAAGTCAAATTTAGATGCAGCATATGAAAAGCATGCTGCCTGTACTTATAAACATGAATAGTAGTAGTAAGTATAATGTGTTCCTTCCAACTAGAATAACAAGCAAGACAACTCGGCACACTGGTGTGGGTAGGAGTACTGCATAGAATATATTGTGGAAGGAAACCTGTAAATCAGTTACCAACAGCAGATTCAATAGCAAAAAATTCAATCTTAGATTCTCATAAACACATTCAAGTATATTACAGTCTACATTTACAAACACTCATCAAGCCCTGGAATCTAAGGGCGCCTATACATGTGCAGCAAGGCTGCTCCGATGTGCTGTAATTACTGCACTCCAACACTCTCCAGCGTCATATGCATCAGTGTCCCCGTGCTGAAAAATGACAGTGGGGGTGTTTTAACTAAAGCTTGTCGACGAGCTTTAGTAAAAGCACCCCCACCACCATTTTTCAGTGTGGGGACACTGACACGTGACACTCCAGGTGCTTTAATTAGATGGGCTCTCAGAGCTGCTCTAATTAAAGTGCCTCCTTTCCCCCACTCCCGGACCATGTCTATAAATGCCCTAAGATACTACAACTTCCTGGCTTTGGAACTGAAAATAATTGTGTTAGCTGGGGAGGCTACTGTCAAATGTTAAAAGGAAAAAGGCTTTTACTGTCTGTTCTCATTTCTTGGGCTATTGGCCCATTTCATTTAAAGTTCCACTGTATATATCCCATTATGTGAATCAAGTGACCTGGGGAGGAAAAAACTGACATAGAATCCTAAGCCTGTAGACCTGCATTCATTCATCCTTATTCATGAAAGCATGAACTTACAGAATCTGGTCCTATATTGAAGTCATCAGTTCAAAGTCATTCTTAATTTTTAATATTCGTATCATCCAGTGTGTGATCCAAACAATCACAATGGGGAACAATGACTGAACTGACTCTTTTGGCTGCATACCTTGAAAGGAAGTGACAAACTATAATGGTCGCTAGCTCTAATACCTTTTAAGGACAACTACTTACTTTTATGAATAAATCTTTATATAATTCAGCCACTAGAAGAGGATATGGCTTACACACTTTTGGAACAGCACAATTTCCTGTAAGTAATACCC